TGTAAATTTGGAGTTTTAGAAGACTTTTGCATTTGATTTTCCATTTCACTCATTAAATTTGGGAAATTTCTGATATTATTTCATTGAAGAGATTGTGAATACCTTTGGTTTGTATCTCCATGCCTTCCTCTATCTTTATAAATCTTAAATTTCTTTTTTTTTTTCATGAAATTCCATAATTCTGGGAAGTTCTGTTTATGGTTTATTTTTAATTTTTTTTTTTTGTTTTAATTGGTTATACATGACAATAGAATGCATTTATGCACTTTGATATATCATACATAGATGGAATATAATGATTGTTGTACAATCATTTTGGTCATGTAGTCACTTATATAAGAGTAATAACATCTGTTTCATTCTACTATCTTTCCTATCCCCACATCCCAACCCCTTCACTCTCTTCACTTCCCTCTACTTAATCTAAGGTAATGCTATTCTTCTTTAGTGGCCCATGCCTTATTGTGAATTAAGAACTGCATAATAGAGAAAATATTTGGCCTTTGCTTTTTTGGGGATTCAATTATTTTGCTTAGCATAATATTCTCCAACTCCATCTATTTACTGGTGAATGCCATAATTTCATTCTTCTTTAAAGGTGAGTAACATTCCATTATGTTTATATACCACATTTTCTTAATCAATTAATCTATTAAGGGGAACCTAAGTTTGTTCCATTGTTTAGCTGTTGTGAATTGGGCTGCTATAAACATTGACTTGGCTGTATTAAAGTATTATGCTGATTTTAAGTCCTTTTTGGTATAAACTGAGGAGTAGGATAGATGGGTCCAATTGTGGTTCCATTCCAAGTCTTGTGAAAAATCTCCATACTGCTTTCCATAGTGGTTGCACCAATTTGCAGTCCCATCAACAATGTATGAGTGTATCTTTTTCCCCACATCCTAGTCAACATTTATTGTTTTCTGTATTCTTGATGATTGCCATTCTGACAGGAGTGAGATAAAATTTTAGTGTAGTTTTGATTTTCATGTCTCTAATTGCTAGAGATGTTGATTTTTTTATATATTTGTTGTTCAGTTTTATTTCTTCTTCTGTGAAGTGTCTGTTAGGTACCTTAGCCCATTTTTTGACTGGGTTGTTGTTGTTGTTATTATTATTATTATTAGGTGTTAAGTTTTTTTGAGTTATTTATATGTCCTAGAGATTAATGCTTTATCAGAATTGCATGTGGTAAAGATTTTCTCTCAATCTATAAGCTCTCCCCTCACGTTATTGATTGTTTTCTTTGCTGAAAAGAAGCTTTTTACTTGAATCCATCCCATTTATTGATTCTTGATTTTAGTTCTTGTGCTTTATGAGTCTTGTTAAGGAAGTCAGATCCTAGGCTGATGTGGTAAAAATTTGGGCCTATTTTTTTTCTTCTATTAGCTGCAGGGTCTCTGTTCTAATGTCTAAGTCTTTAATCCACTTTGAATTGATTTTTGTGCAGGGTGAGAGATGGAGATTTAATTTCATTTTGCTACATATGGGTTTCCAATTTTGCCAGCACCATTTATTGAATAGGATATCGTTTCTTCAGTGAATGTTTTTGGCACCTTTGTCTAGTATGACATAACCATATTTATTTGGGTTTGTCTCTGTGTCCTCTATTTTGTACCATTGGTCTAAAGTCTATTTTGGTGCCAATACAATGACACTTTTGTTACTATGCCTCTGTAGTGTAGCTTAAGGTTTGGTGTTGTGATGCCTCCTGCTTCACTTTTCTTGCTAAAGATTGCTTTAGTTAATCTGGGTCTCTTATTTTTCCAAAATAATTTCTGAAATAAATTGAAGAGTATTGGTTTTATGTCTTTCTTAAAGATCTTGTGGAACTTGGTGTGTATTCATCTAGCCTTGGGCTTTTCTTGTTTTTTTTTTTTTTTCTATTTCTATGAAGAATGTCATTGGGATTTTAAAAGGAATTGCATAAAATCTGCATAATGTTTTGGTAGTATTGCCATTTTGACAATTTTATTTCTTTCTATGCAGGAGCATGGGAGATCTTTCCATCTTTTGAGGTTTTCTTCAATTTTTTTCTTTAAATGTTCTGTAGTTCTCATTGTAGAGGCCTTTTACCTCTTTTGTTAGATTGAGTCACAGTTTTTTTTTTTTTTTTTTTGAGGCTATTGTGAATGGGGTAGATTTCCTAATTTCTCTTTCAGTGAATTCATTGCTGATGTATAGAAACACATGGGTGATGATTTTATATCCTGCTACTTTGCTAAATTTATTTATTAGTTCTACAAGTTTTCTGGTGGGATTTTTTGGGTTGGCAAATAGTGCTAATTTGAGTTCTTCTTTTCCTATTTGTATCACTTTAATTTCTTACATCTGTCTAATTGCTCTTGCAGTGTTTCAAGAACTATGTTAAATGGAAGTGGTGAAAGAAGGCATCTCTGTCTTTTTCCAGATTTTAGAAGGAATGCTTTCAATTTTTCTCCATTTAGAATGATGTAGGTCTGGGGCTTAGAATAAATAGATTTTACAATGTTGAGTTATGTTACTGTTATCCCTAGTTTTTCTAGTCTTTTAAACATGAAGGGGTGATGTATTTTGTTGAATGCTTTTTCTGCATCTATTGAGATGATCATATATTCTTATCCTTAAGTCTATTGATGTTATAAATTACATTTATTGATTTTTGAATGTTGAAAAAACCTTGCATCCCTGGGATGAACCCCACTTGATCGTGATGCACTGTCTTTTTGATATGTTTTTTTAATCGATTTGCCAGAAATTTATTGGGAACTTTTGCATCTATCCAGGATATTGGTTTGAAGTTTTCTTTCTTTGATGTATCTCTGCCTAGTTTTGGAATCAAGATTATTGTTTTCATAGAATGAGTTTGGAAATGCTCCCTCTGTTTTCTGAAATAAATTGAAGAGTATTGGTATTATTTCTTTCTTAAAGGTCTTGTGGAACTTTATGTGTATTCATCTAGCCTTGGGCTTTTCTTAGTTGGTAGGCTTCTGGTGTCTTCTTTTATTTCATTGCTTAAAATTGATCTGTTTAATTTGTGTATATCATCCTGATTCAATTTGGGCAAATCATAGAACTCTAGAAATTTTTTAATGTCTTTGATATTTCTATTTTATTGGAGTACAAGTTTTCAATATAATTTCTAATTATCTTATGTATTTCTGTAGTGTGTGTTGTGATGTTTTCTTTTATATCATGGATGCTAGTAATTTGAATCTTCTCTCTCCTTCTCTTTGTTAGCATGGCTAAGTGTCTGTCAATTTTATTTATTTTTTCAAAGAACCAACTTTTAGTTTTGTCATTTTTTTCAATTGTTTCTTTGTTTCAATTTCATTTATTTCAGCTCTGATTTTAATTATTTCCTGTTTTCTATTGCTTTTGGTGTTGATTTGTTCTTCTTTTTTTTTTTCCAATAAAGTTTTGTGTATTGATTCAATATTAAGTATTAATTGCATGACCATCATAGCACCTCTTTACATCACACAATCACCAGAATTAGAAACTGTGTTGAAAACTAAAAACAGGGCACAGTCCAATAATTAGAAGTTGCACACTGTTACTATATAGAAACCAGGTGCATGGTACAGTGCGGCTATAAAAATGGAAGCCTGCAGATCTCACGAGGAAGCCAAATCGTGTTTTTAGACAATTTTAGGAACCTGGCAATACTGTTGAAGCAAAATACTCAACACAGCAGGAAATGGACTGGGGGAGGGGAGGAAAAAAAATTCTATAACCAAATAAACATCTGATATTTCCTTTCCCTTTGAGAATAAATATAGTTAAGGTCACTTTTAGCCTTGGAACGGATATGTTTGCCTATGATGATCTTGCTAATGACTACACGATATCTGATGTCCTCTGCTAGGATTATAGTTTTTGAGAAAGCCATATTACAAGAGGCATCTACTGTAAATACCTATAACTTCCTTTTATGGCAACCACTATCGAATTCACTTGTCTTAAACAGTGAACAAGGGAAGATGGCCTCATGTTGCCTTTGCAATAATAGTATATGTTGAGGATCGAGTGTCTTTCAAGCAGCATGGTGGGTGTGAAAAATGTTTGCAGTTTAGATCATTCTGTTGCGTTTATGGGTTGGTGAGTCTGTAATGACATCGCCACACTGGGCTGAGGTACGCTTTCTAGTTCCACCATTGTCCAAGTGGAGTGCCATTTCTTCTGATATGAAAGTGTTCAAATCCACATCATGGAGTCCATTTCACCTTCGACTAGCATTCGATCCACTGCTTACATGTGTAGGAGAGCCTGGGGTACTCGAACGCACGCTTATACTAGCCATTGCACCACTAAGACCATGCAGAGCTATGGCTTCCCGGAAGGGTTGCAAATCAGTCTCTACAGATGAGCTAGTTTCCGTTGAAGTAGCTCGGTTAGGGGACACTACAGTCAGTCTTGGGGGAGCTCTAGAGTTTCGTGGTGGAGGAACCTTTCCACACAGGAAGCTGATCAAATCTTCTCTGCGAATAGTTCTTCTGCGTTTTTTAACCCAAGCCAGCACATCCTCATTGCGTCGCTGATAGCCAATCTGAATTCCAATATCAAAACTTCGCTGATGGGTATCCACACTTTCTTTGTAGAGGTTGGTGACGGCGGTGGCTGCGTTTTGGAAGGGGACCCAGAGAGAAAGTCCTGGCTGCTGACACACTCGGTCTTTGTAGAGCTGGGCCACGGCGGTGGCCGAGTTCTGGAAGAGGTGCCACAGCTTCTGCTGCTTGTGCTCGGGCTGCGCGGCGGCCGCCGCCTCCTCCTCCAGCTCAGGGGACAGCTGCTCGTCCTGCTCGGCCTCGGCCAGGCACTGCCGCTCCCACTTGGAGAACCAATGCTCGGGCCCGTGCTCCTGGATCTCCGCCTCGCCCTCTTCCTTCCACTCCTCCATCCTCCGCGGCCTCCCGCGGCCTCGCCACGGCCGCCGCGTCCTCCTCAGGGGGGGCCCCGCGGGAGCGTAGTCGTCGAGCGGCCCTGCGGCGGGGCCCGGCGGCCGGCGGCTGCTCCTCCAGGCGGCTCAGGCCTCCTGCAACCCGACAGCCGGCGACCCCGCCCCGCGGCCCGCGCAGCCCGGACGACCCCCGCCCCGGGCCTCCCCGCCCCGGGCCTCCCCGCCACGGGCCCGCTGACGGCCCCCGCTTCGCCTGCAGCACTCGCCTACCCAATTTGTTCTTCTTTTTCTAGGGCTTTGAGATGTAATGTTAGGTCATTTATTTGTTGACTGTTTACTCTTTTAAGAAACGAACTTTATGCAATGAAAGTTTCCTCTTAGTAATGCCTTCATAGTGTCCCAGAGTTTTTGAAGTGTTGTATCAGTGTTATCATTTACCTCTAAGAATTTTTTAATCTCTCCTTGGTGTCTTTTGCAATCCATTGTTCATTCAGTAGCATATTATTTAGTCTCCAAGTGTTGGAGTAGCTTTTATTTTTTATTTTATCATTGATTTCTAATTTCATTCTGTTATTACCTAATAGAATGCAGGGTAGTATCTCTACTTACTTTTAATATTTGCTTTATGGCATCATATATAGTCTATTTTAGAGAAGGATCCATGTTCTGCTGAGAAGAAAGTGTATTTGCTTGTTGAAGGATGAAATATTCTATATATGTCAGTTAAGTCTAAGTTATTTATTGTATTATTGAGTTGTATAGTTTTTTTGTTCTGCTTTTGTTTGGAGGATCTATCCAGTGGTGAAAGAGGAGTTTTAAAGTCATCTAGAATTAGTGTATTGTGGTAAATTTGACTCTTGAACTTGAGAAGAGTTTGTTTGATGAACATAGATGTTCCATTGTTTGTAGCATATATATTTATAATTGTTATGTCTTGTTGGTGTATAGTTACCTTGAGCAGTATGAAATGTCTTTCTTTATCCCTTTTTGTTATCTTTAGCTTAAAGTCTAAAGATTTGTTTGATATGAGGATGGAAACTCCTGCTTACTTCCACAGTCCATGTGAGTGGTATGGTTTTCCCAATCTTTCACCTTTAGTCTGTGTATATCTTTTTTTTTTTTTTTTTTTAAATGAAATAAATCTCTTTGATGCAGCATATCTTTGAGTCTTTTTTTTTATCCAATCAGATAGCCTGTCTTTTGACTGGTGAGTTTAAGCCACCAACATTCAGGGTTATTATTAAGACATTTGTATTCCCAGCCATTTTGTTTACTTTTGGTATTTAACTTGACTTGGTTTGTACTTTGATTAATATTTTATTTAGTATGATACCTCCCTCTGCTGAGTTTCATTGTTGTTTTTCATTTTTTTTTGCCATAGAATATTTTGCAAGTATATTCTGCAGTGCAGGTTTTCTAACTGTAAATTCTTTTAACTTTTGTTTATCATGGAAGGTTTTTATATCATCAGAAAATCTAAAGCTTAAGTTTGCTGGTTATAATATTTTTGGTTGGCATCCATTTTCTTTCAGAGCGTGGTATATGTTGTTCCAGAATCTTCTAGCTTTCAGGATCTGGGTTGAAGAATCAGCACATAACCCACTTGTTTTTTTCCCCTATATGTAATCTGATTCCTTTCTCTCATAGCTTTTCATATTCTCTCCTTATTCTGTATGCTAGGCATTTTCATTATAATGTGACTTGGTGTGGATCTGTTGTGATTTTGTACACTTGGCATCCTGTAAGCCTCTTGAATTGGTTTTCCAATTTGTTCTTCATGTTTGGGAATTTTTTTGATATTATTTTATTGAATGGATTGTTCATTCATTTGGTTTGGAACTTTATGCCTTCCTCTCTCCCAATAACTCTTAATTTTGCCTTTTCATGCTATCCCATATTTCTTAAATGTTCTGCTCATTTTTTTCTTACCATTTTCATTGTGTGGTCTAGATACTTTTCAAAATTATATATTTGTCTTCATTGTCAGAGGTCCTGTCTTCCAAGTAGTCTAATTTGTTGGTGATGCTTTCAATTGAACTTTTCATTTGGTTTATTGTTACTTTCATTTCAAGGATTTATCTTCAGTTTTTCTTTAGAACCTCTATCTCCCTATTGAAGTAATCTTTTGCTTTTTGTATTTGCTTATCTATCTCTTTGTTGAAATGATCTTTTGCTGCCTGCATTTTCTCTCTTATATCATTCTTTAATTCACAGATCATTTTAATTATGTACATACTGAACCCCTTCTTTGTCATTTCATCTTCTGTGATGGTCATAGATTTAATAATGTGGTATTTTGAATTGTTTGGGGCATTTTATTTCCTTATCTTTTCATGTTGCTCATGTGTCTTCCCTTGTAGCACTGTGAATTCTTGGTGTTACTGTTTTTACCCTACAGACTTATAGTGCTCCTGTAAGGTTCCAATACCTCACCATTGAGTGGTAGGACAATGTTAACAGATCCCAATATAAACAATATATCACCTTAAAAAAAATTAGTTGTGAACAGACATTTACAGTTTGCTCATAATATACAGAAATTGTGAATTCAATTATTATCTACAATATGATCAGTAGGTTTGTAAAGGGTTTACAGTTTCTGATGGTGTACAAAAACCAGGGTGAGGTGCAGGAAGATATGTTGAGGATGTATGAGGTGAGAATATAGAGTTATTATAACTTAGGAAGAGTAAAGTAGAAATCTAAAGAAGGTTAATAGCAGGAGAATACAGAGGAAGTAAATTTGAGTAGAGAAGTAAGAGGAAAGACAGTAATGTACATAAAACAAACACAGATATTAAGAAAAAAAAATCAACAATGTTAAAATAATAAAAATTGAGGGAAAAACAGAAAAAACAAAGACAAGAAAAAGAAAAAAATGTATACAACATAAGGATAACATACTAATCAGTTGTTTCAGAATTCAATATCCTAATTCATGCACAGTACTTGGTTTCACATATGTTGGGGATGTGAGAGAGGGAGAATAGAGAGGGAGAAGAAAGAATAAAAAAAAATCTCGAAAGAAGAAACAAGGATTGTTTTGCATGGAGATCAGTATCTTTTCTGTTTCCCTTCTCATCCAATAGGTGGGGTCATCTGTTGGTAGCTGCTATCTTCACCTTCAGAATGGTGAAAGTAACCAGGGAGGGAGGGCTGTTATTGGGTGGAGGGCAACTGGAAGTGGGCCATGGCACCTGTCCATCTTCAAAGGGAGACTGCACCTCAGAGATCTCTTTTTGGGCCTGTTCCTGTGATGTGAGTGCCTGGTCTTATCTCCTTATCTTGCTTGAAGACCTCCCAGTTCCTAGTCTCTGTTAGTCTCTAAATTGTGTCACACACACCCTCTCCGTTAATGCTCCATAATAAGGGTCCTTTCTCTCTGGGGCTCTTGTGTGGTGCTTTTGGCATGCTGCACACCTGCTCCATTGATAGCTGTTTATTTTGTTGTTGTTGTTGTTGTTGGGCAGTCACTGTGTTGGGTTAGGGACTGTGGGGAGAGGGAGGAGTTAGAATCTGGGTACCTGCCCAGCTGGAGTTTCAAACAGGGAGTTGCCCTCACTAAAGATGGTGATAAAGGTGAACCAAGATGAAGGCATCTGCTTTCAGAGATGGGGTATTGGGTCGGGTGGGAGGAGCCAGGTGATGGTGTTTGATGATGAGACTGGATTTGTGGCATGTAGTGTGTGGATATGGCTGTCTTCAGAGCATGTGCGAATTTCCCTGGTTCAGGCAGACTACAGCGCATAGGGGACTATCTGTTGCTGCAGAGTCCCAAGATGGAGGTGACTGGGTGAGCCCCACCTTGGTTGATGGAGGTACTTACAGGAGTGGCAGTTGGAGATCCTGTATGTGGATAGCTGTCAGGTACCCTGTGTGGGAGCTGTATCCAGGATTTCTTCTTGGATGGGTGGCCAAAAGTTTTGCGTGGGTGCTGATGGTGATAGTTCTTCTTGAGCACCCGGTGGTGGTCTTGCTCGGGAACCTGATAGTCCTGTGTGGGCAAGTAGTTGGGAAACCTACTCTGAAACTGAGGCCTGGAGCCCTGCATGGACATGGTGGCCATGATTTCTGTGCAGAAGCAGGAATATATGGCTTGCATGGAAGCCGTATTCTCACTTCTTGTGTCCCAGGTCACGGAGCTACACAGAATGCTGCCTCCATCTGGCCCACTATCTTGGATCACCTCTCAAGGTTATTCTTGAGATATGATTTGTATTTGCTGTCATTTTGATTTATTTATGCTTATTTTTGTTTATTTATTTTTTTATTTCTGTTTTTTTTTATTTGCCTTACTTTCTTCTTTGGTTGCATGTTCCTTTAGT